GTTGTTAGAGAATAGCTGATGGTTCACAGTCAATGTCCATAGTTATTTATAATTCAAACATCTTTATTAGTCTAAATAGAGAAAACAGTTACTAACAATTTCTTAATAGCTAAATTAAAGGTGGACTAAATTAGGTCAAAATGTCTACCTAACTAGATTGGCATTCATGGCTTCAAAAACTCCTCAGTCCTTTCCCTCCCATGTAAATTAATTTCATTTTTTACGCCGGAAATGAGTTCTGACTTTTTGAATTTGATTCCAAAAATGTTGTTTTCTCACATTCCCATTTGTCTCTGTAGCCTGGTTTTAAGTCAGACATGGAGGAAGTAAAGGGGACCCCAGACATAGACACAAAAGGTGTAAGATGAATCCAAACCCTCAATCATAATGCCTGAAAATTCCATTGTATACCTGTTATTTCTTTTAGCATTATTCCAAATACCTAATTCACGAGGTCAGGTGTTAGTTGTGGGGGAGAGTAGTTAATGTATATTGTTTGCTTGACATGCACCTAAGGTGTTCGATGATTGGCCTAGCTGAGGTTTTGTGCTTAAAATGCAAAAACAGGGGAAGCACCAATGGCTACCTAATCCAATTGATGCTTTAATTAGTCGTATGATGTAGGCCCATGATTAGTGATTTAGTGTTAAGTTCAACGAATTAGTTGTTACTTGAAGGAGGCACCTATTGACCTAATCTTTCATTTGTCAAAGTTAATAAAAAAAAAAAAAAGTGTTGGTTATTAATAGATTATTTCATAGTTTTGTGGAGTAAAAGTTGATGTGAATAATCATTTTGTTTAGTATAATCAAGTTTTGATTGATCCGAGCATACATCTGCGTATGTGGCTCACACCACCCCATCCACCGTAAGACGCTACATATTATTATGTTATAATATTAATATTATAGTTACAACATTATATGAGATTATTAATTTATAATTTTATGTAATATTAAACAAAAATAACATGACATTAAATGATTAAATGTATATAATATCATAAATAAACCATTAAATAAAAATAATTAATTGTATATTGATATATTATGTTATAAATTTATAATACTATATGATATTATAATTATAATATTTTTAATTGTAATTAACTAAAGTTTTGATTCAAGTCATCTAATTCAATATCAATATAAATCAAAAGCTAAGATCCTTGCATTTTCCTACTGTTGTTGAGTGGATGATGTGTTCCATTTGCTTAAATTTCATTAAGATAATCAATCTTATGCAACATATTATTGAGATTAATTGATCTTCAGTATCAAACCATAACGCAATTGATTAGTTGATTTTCAGCTAGTTACTCAACAAATTATTGATTAGCTGATTTTCATGAGATCAGACAGTAATTTTAAGAAAAAAATGAAAAAGTATTCTCAATTCTCAATTTAACGTGTATAATTCAGTGTTGGGCACTTTACTCTTTCCCTACGGCATTTGGGAACTGACCATTGCTCCCACTAGCGATGCGCATGATTTTTGTTCAACACGCGAGGGATGGTCTCCATCATAAATTTGCATGCTAAAGGGAAAGAATGCAAATGATGAAAAACTTTTATTTTTATCCCTTTTGATGGAGGATGAAAGGGTTAAATGAAATGTTTGGATTAACTATTTAAAAATAATTAATAATTAAAGTTGATATTTAACAATTAATAATTGTTATTATTTAAAATTTAAAAAATATATAATCTATTTGATTAAAGTTAACAACGGATAACTTTTTATAAAATAAAACAAACATCCTCTAAGACTAATAAAATAGATTAGGTTTTAATAACATTTATTTATTAATTGAAATGAATAATTGACATGAAAGTATTTACATTTTGATTTTTACCAACACCAATTAACTTTTTACTATTATGCTTTGGACAAGGGAAGAAAAAGCAAGCATCATGCAATTGATAATGATGTTTATATATAGTGAAATCCCACAAAGGTTTAGAGAATTTTTCTTGTTTATTTTTGTTTCCCTATAATTGTTTTTCGTCTTATTAGAGAAAAAGATGGTGCGCAAACACAACACAATTGTACAAGGAGTAAATTCCAATAGTTTGGCAATGGAGGGGTTTTCAAAAAGTTTGGCGCTTTTACCTTTACGCTTTTGATTTTCGATTTCTTTCTCCTTTTTCTGTGTAAGATTTTCATTTTTACTTGATAATGTCAGGTGCTTAATTTCACGTAACTTTGAATTTCTAATCTCAATAATTTTAATTCAACGGTTTAACAGTTAGTCAACTGGTAATGAGAGGTGTGTATTGTTGAACACATGGAATCAAATCTATTTAACATCATTTCCTCAGAAACAATCATATATATATATATATATATAGAGGAAACAATAAAGCTGATAGGTATTATTTTTATAATATATATATTATTATTATTACTTATGTTTATTATATTTTTAGTTAATTTTTATATATTTTGTTATTAATTTTTTAGATAATTTTAAAGACACATATATACTTTGGTTTTATATATTTAAAAAAAATTCATTTTTTAAAACAGTAGTTTTAGAATTTAAAATTTGAATTTGGCATATAAAATGATATTTATTCATTAATAAATTCAATCTTTAGGAATAAGTAATAATAATAATAATAAAAATAAAAAATTAAGATAATTCTATTTATTTTATTAGGTAAAGCACTCTTAACATCTAGCAAAAATTACTTAAGTTCTTTTTTAAGAGGCAACAATTTAAGGAGATGCTCAAATTCCAAAATAACCATATTATGTTTAAACGGTTGGTTTGGCCATGGACAACGCTACCCAAGAAATTGTTAGAACATTTAAAATATCAGTATAATTATATTTCATTTGATTGTTAAAAATATTTAATAATTTTAATTAGTAGTTAATTGTAGATAAAATATATGATATTTATTATTTAATAATTTAAAATTAACCTATATAATATTTTTAAGTATTTTAACAATTATAAACTAATAAAACTAAATAAATTAAATACACATATTATATTTTGTGTGGCCCCAATAATTCTTTATGTGCCATAAGATCAACCGATTGATTGTCTGTATAACCCAACTTGCCCAACAAAAGGAGGTTCCATTTTGAAATCCAGCCTTTGTATGTTAAATTTCTAATTATGAGTTGCTTGTGATTGTAATTAATAAATAACTTTAGACTTGGACATTTTTTTACACTAATTTTTTATTAAAATATTTAATAGCATGGACTATTTTAAATTATAAAACACTAACCTTTAAAATAAGAAGAGAGACTCATTTTTTATTTTACAATTTAGATTATAAAACAGTCAAGTCTTTTTTTAATGTTTTTACGTTTTTAGAGGTTAGTTTTTGTTTACCTTTGTGCTTATTTGAAAGGATTAAAGAAAATTAATTTTTTTAAGTTTTTTTGTTTTTAGAATAGGGTTACAAATTAGGGATAGAGAGATTCAAATTCCAACTTTCGAGTTAAGAGATACACCTTACGAGTTAATTTATGACCATTAGCGCAAGTGCAATTTTTTTGAAGTATTAGTTGTTATTGATTTAAAAGTTTGAATATTCAACTTTACTTATAAAATAATACCTACTAACCTATGAATCCAATTCTTGAATTGTTACCTATGCATTGTGAATTAATTTTATAGCCACCTCTTTTATTAGGCCTATAGTTAGGAATATGAAATTACTATATATTTTTTTAACGCATTTTATAATAAGTTATATAAGAGAGAATAATCTTTTCATTTTCATAAATTTTTTTTAATTAATTCAAAATTTGAATTTAAAGCTTTTAACTAAAAATCTTAGACTCTTAATTAATTGTGCCACCCCTTTAAACACAAAATTACTACACTGAATATAAAAAATCAAAAACAAAAAACAACGAGACCAGGTAACTATTATTATTATTTTTTTATGTAAAGTATAAATATGAAGCTGCTCATGGTGTAGGTTACTAAAATACCCTTAGTTATATATTTTTTTTTCATTTGAACGGCAACAGTATTCAAATGTAACAATCTTAAGGTATTATTTGGTTGGGGGTAATAGTTATTTTTTGATTAACTTATAAAAATAATTTAAATTTAAGAAATTTCATTAAATGGTTAAGAATAGTTAAGTTTTAATATTAATAATTTTTTACTAAATAAAAGGATAAAAAGATTTAAGTTTTTCACAAAAGATTGTACATTAAAAATACAATATATCTTCTGAATTTACTTAAATACTTGTAATGAAATAATATAAAAAATAATTTTATTATGGGTATTTAAATAAATTTATAGGATAAAGAATATTTTTAATATACATTTTACCTTATAAAATATTTTTTAAAAGATAAGAAATATGTATTTCTTTACTTTTATAAGAAAGAGATATTTTTTAATTCTTTACTGATGTAGAAAGAAAATTAAGCATCAAGGTTTAATTATTTTTAAATTCTTATGAAATTTCTTAATTTTACTTTGTTTTTATAGTTTGACAAGGAATAGTCATTATTATCAACCAAGTAAATTTTATCAATAAATTTAGATTGGGGGAACAAAAGACAAAAGGAGAGAAAAAAAATAAAATTTTCAAATAACCAAATTATTAAATTAGTCTACATTAAAACTTAATTAAAAGTTGATTAGTGAAAAAATTCTCTCCCACCTCACTCCTACTCCTTCGTCTCAATCCAAATATACTCTTAATTGTTAATCTATAACAATATATTATTTTAATGGTTACTAATCTAACGAACAGACATTGTTAACATTCCCATCAAAATCAAATCCTCAAAATTAAAGGTAGGATTTTGTTCTTTGATTGAGGACATGAAAAAAGACTCTTACCATAACATAACAAGAATTAGAGGACACAAAACCCCTGAGAAAAGAAAAAGAAAAAGAAAAAGAAAATTATTATATGTGTACAAGCAATGGAGATACGGTACCACTTTTACATTTTCCTTTTATTGTAACGTATTATAAATTAATAAAACTTGGCCTCTTCCAGCTAATGGGTGTACTCGGTTGTCGATTTCTCCATGTTTATGCCCCTCATTTCTCTCCACTCCCATGTGATTTGGCCCTCTCTTTCCCCCTCACCATTCCATTTTCCTCCAGTTCTTTCAGTTTTTTTCTTTAAAAATCAGTTCTTTGGCTATTCCTGAGATGGACTAAACGCAGACACTGACAGTGAAGCAAATCTCAGTTTCTGCTCTCTCTGTCTCTCTTGTATTCAACTTTTGGGCTTCAAAAACTAGACACCCATTTCAAATTGGAGTTTTGAAGAGCTGATTTTGAAGCATTTGGGGGGAGATGTGTTTTTGAGTTCATCAACAATTGAGTAAGGTAGGACTGTCTTCTCTGTATCTAAAGTTTCTGCTGTTGTGTTTCCATTCTTTTGGTGCTTTACTAAATCTCTGATTCTTTAAACCCAGATAGAGATTGTTTAGGGAGGAAGAAAGATTTTATCTTTTTTGGTTATAATGAGGGACTTTCCTTCTTGTTTTGGTGAAAGTGGAGTTCAAGTTGCTGATTCTTCTTCATCAAGTACTTCTAAAGCTGCTCAAAATTTAATTACTTGTGTTTATCAGTGTAAATTTCATGGTAGATCGTGTTTGATTACGGTTACATGGACCAAGAGTCTGATGGGTCAAGGCCTTTGTATTGCAATTGACGATTTGGCCAATCAGTGTTTGTGTAAGGTTGATATAAAACCATGGTTGTTCTCAAAGAGAAAAGGGTCAAAGAATTTGGAGGTAGATTCTAGTAAGGTTGATATATATTGGGATTTGTCTAATGCTAGATTTGGTTCTGGGCCAGAACCACTGGAGGGGTTTTATGTAGCTGTTGCATTCGACCAAGAAGTAGTGTTACTTCTTGGGGATTTGAAAAGGGAGGCATACAAGAAGGTTGATTCTGCTCCTGTTAATTCCAATGCCATTTTTATTGCAAAAAGGGAGCACATTTTTGGGAAGAAATTGTATGGTGTCAAGGCTCAATTTTGTGACAAGGGGCAGATGCATGATGTCACAATCGAGTGTGACACTTTGGATCTCAAAGATCCATGCCTTGTTATCAGAATTGATAGTAAGACAGTGATGCAGATCAAGCGGCTTAAGTGGAAGTTCCGTGGCAACCAGACCATTTTGGTGGATGGGCTTCCTGTAGAAGTGTTTTGGGATGTGCACAACTGGCTCTTTGGTAATGCAACTGGGAATGCAGTTTTCATGTTCCAAACCTGCCTATCTGCAGAAAAATTGTGGGCTAGCCAATCTATTTTTGATCCATCTGTATTGACATGGTCTCACTCTCAGAAATTTAGGGATTACCAGTTACAAGGTCTTGGTTTCTCATTGATATTGTATGCTTGGAAGAATGAATAGAAATGTACTTTTCAGTTTTCACTCATGTGAGTTAAGAAATGCTTCGTGCTATATATTTTCATAGACAATGTGATTGAAATAGAGTATATGCAACTTGTAAGTTCTGATCCATTCATGTTTTGTTGGTTGTAGAGAAGCTTATGCCTTATAGTATATAACTGATTAACCAATTGTTCTTTGTTATTTTTGTTGTATAACCTGGCTTTCAGCTCATTTTCCATTAAAAATTGATATAGAGACTAGTACTATATAATGGGTTGCCAGAATTCAGTTCGAATCAGGGGCCTACAGACATAAAAACTGAAGCACTGGGGTAAGATCCCCCTTCATTCACTGAATTTCAGCAGGAAGTTGTAACAAATGTTTTGAAGAATTCATATGTGGTGCATTAATTGATCCAATCCTTTTTTGGTGCAGGCTTATAAATCCTGGGAAATGGGGGCCATAAGCCATACATGTGGTGGATACAGATTGACAAATTTTCAGAATCTATATTTATGAAAGCTAAGGAGCAGGTATATGCTGCATCTTTGCTTCTGCATATATTGGGTCTCATTCTATTCATTTATGTTTTAGGTTGTCGTAGTGGCTGGTGGATTTTTAAGGCTCTTAAGAACTTGCAACTTGCCTTAATCGGACTTCAAAGTGTTTTTTTTTTTTTGCCAAGCACTCCAAATTTTCTTCTTAAACTTTGATACATCATGAAGAAAAGTTAGAAAAGGGAAATTTCAAATGCATGGATCTAAATTGGTTCATGTTAGTAACTATATAGAGCAAGATGCATAATGAATCTCAGGAAAGAAGAATTAATTAGATGCACCAAAATTGACATGACGTGCCTTGTAATTTACAAATAGCTTGACTTTTGTACCATTTCTGCATTCTTTCCATATCTGAGGATAGAGTCTCTGGTCCAATGTCTTCTTCATAAACTTTGCATAAAACCCAACTGTCTAACTGACAAAAGCATATTCAGAATTGAGTGAGATTAGAGAATGGAAACTCTTTGAATGTATGTACCAGAAAATACTCCTTGAATGCCAAGCTCAAGAAGTTTGAGAAACTTTGTTCATCCTATACATGTCTTCTGATTCAACATTTGAATTCCAATATAGTTTAAGTTCAATCTGTTGTTAGATCTTTGAATGTGACAATCAGCATTGAGTCTGCTTGCATAGTTGCTTCTTTCATGTAGTATATTTGTATGTTTAAGATGAATGTTAAAGTAGTTTGATTTGAAGATGACTTTGTTCAACTGAAGTACATAAACTAGCATGAAAAATGTAACCTTTTCCATCCTTATGATCACTTGCAACTGAACAGGAATGATGCGGCAGTCTGTACGCCACCATTCTTCAATTTGTTTTGCGCCCATTTATATCCCCTTCATAGAAACACATTTTTTTCTCTCCAGCCAACTATCCCCCCATCTGCATTAGTTCCTTCCAATAGCCGTACCTTGCCCGGTGATCTGGTCTAAAAATTAATCCATAAACTTGGCGTCAAAATGTAACATTCTTTTCCTGAACTTGCTCTCTGCACAAAATGCCCCGAACTTAACTTTGTGACTCTTTTTTGTTATTTGTTGTTGTTGTTGTTGTTTTGTGTTATATATTTATTTATTTATTTTTAAAAGTTATTTGGCCATGTGACTCCTTTCTGTTTTCTTTGATTAGTATATATATTTTAAAATAATATCCTTTGTTTTAGCCTTTTAGGGTGATGCAATTCAAATTGTTAATTGATGGAAGACAAGCACAGAATTTCCAAGAGGGAAATGTTTAAGCCGTAACAAACTTTGGTTGCAATGTCGAGTCTACTTATCGACCTGTGGCAAGATCCTTGAAATATGATTTAACAATGCTGCCTTCATTTTTGCAGTTTAATGAAACCCTGATTAACATCATGCGGCACTCTTTTTAAGTTTTTAGATTACTCGGAGGTTGCTCTTTAAGTGAATTAGGACAGATTTTATTATGTTTTGAAACGGCTTAATTTGAGCAACTAGGTCAATACAAAGAGAGAAACCTAGTGAACTTAGAAAGAGAACCTCTAGAAGTAAGTATTGAAAATACAATGAAAGTTAAAACTCTTAATTACAAAATAAGAACAAAAAGAAAAAGAATAAATACATTAAGAAATGTTATTAATACACTTCTATCAGCATGAGCAATGACCAAATAAATCAAATTAACATGTATTTACTCAATACATTAGGAAAAAGTATAATAGATAGACAAGATACAATTATCATAAATAATATTCTAAAAATAGAAACAATTAATGAAAATATCCTAAGAAGAATTAAAGAAATGGGAAAATCCACTTTTCAAGAATTTGATTTTATTAAAGAAAGAATAAATAATATCAAAAACTCTAGAAATTTGAAAGAAATAAAAGAAGAAATAAGGTCTATTATAGACTTAAAAGACTCTGATATCTCGAGTAAGAGAGATAAAAATCAAAATAGAAGAAATTTTTAAGATATTAAAAGTAATTGCTGAAAAATTGCAATAAAAGCTTAAAAATATATAACAAAATAATTTCACAATTAGAAAGTAACATAGATAAAATTTTTTATAAGATCCAGACACAACTTAAAGATTTACAAGATACTATAATATCAGTCTATAGTGGCAAAATATTGTAGATAGAAATGAAGGATTTAAAATAATTCCGAATATTTTCATGGAAAAACCTAAATTAAAAGGGATAACACTTTTCATGTTAAAAACCCAAGAAGAAAAGTTGAAAGAACTTGAACAAAAATCCTTAGAAGAAGAAAATGTAGAACTAGATAATATGTGCAAATAGATTACTATAACTACTAAACAATTAGAAAATATGAAAATGAATACCCAAAAGGAGGAAATAGAAGAGGAAAGTGAAGAAGAAAAGGACGAGACACGTCCTAATATAACTCCAACAAAATTTCCAATGCCACCTAAAGTAGAATCCAGTATAAGCCAAAACTATAGGAAAAAATAGAAATCTAACACATGAAGTGATATATGATAAAAATAGTAAAAGATTTGGGAATCAATCTAAGCTTGAAATGCCAGTTAGAATCAAAGAATAAATAATTAGTACTATTGGTATTTGGCTAGATCTAGATTGTGTTACTGACCCAGAGAAAGTTATTAGTGACTGGGCCTAAGCTACTTGGATAGCTGTAGCAAACAAAAATTGGAATGTCTTACAAATAGTTAAATTTATTAAAATCACCTTTAAAGGGATAGTTCGCAACTAGTTTACTGGTCTAAATGAAGAAGACAATAGTATTATTATAAGTGGAAATCCCACTTCAGAAGAAGTTAATGAAAACGAAGCAATTCAAGACATAATAAATATGTTTGAATCAGCCATTAAGAGAGAATTCTTAGGAGAGAATTGGGAAGAAAATAAAGGAAAAGAGGAGGCCAAAATTGGAAGAATAGCAGTATGGAATTTGCAAAATTTAGAATTATGTAATCTCTATAAATTAGATCAATACATTTGTCTATTTCAGAAATACTATTATAAAGCTTCAAATCATGTAATGACTAAAGGCATAATGGAATTGTTTTTTGAAAAAATTTCTAATCTTTGGGGAATAAAATTGGCAGAAGCCTATAGAATATATGTAAAATATAAGAAAGATACTTTATGGTTAAGAATTTGGTTCGATAAAATCAAAATTAATGAATGGTGCCTAGAAACCTATACCCAGAACAAACTAAGAAAAAATATGAAAAAAATGACTATGTTGTCCTAAGAATAGTGACCCAATCAAGCTAAGATATAGTTATACCAACTACAAAAAGAGAAACAAGAAATTTAGAATTAAAAAAAAGTAATAAACAAAGGTTTAATTAGAACAAATTTTTTAGAAAGAAAAAGAGGTATTTTAAGAAAACCAAAGCATCAAAAAAGTATAAAAACAATCTTAAAAAATGCACATGTTGGTTGTGTAAAGAAGAAGGGCATTATGCAAATGAATGTCCTAAAAGATACAAAAGAGAAAGTACTAAGCGATACAAAAGAGAAAGTACTAAAAACCTAAAAATTTATGAAGAAGAACTAAGTGAAATAGATAGTAGCTCTATAAGTAGCGAAGAAAGTATATATGAAGTGGAAAGTTTACATACCTCCAATAGTGATGAATCAGAATATTGAAGAAGGAGAAGCTTATTCTGAAGAATATGAAGAACATGAAAAATACAGTCAAATAACTGTATTTGATAAAAGAAATATAAAAGAATTAGAAAAAAGAGAATTGACCTTCCTTTAGAAAAAAGATTCAAATCAAATTCCTTTATAAGTAATCCTTTTAAGAGAAATGATATAGTTTATTATGGAATATCCACTAAATAATATAGCATTCCTATCAAGAATACAACAAGAATAATAAATATACCTTTGATTATCAAGGCAGAAAAAGAAAGTAAACTATCAAAAACCAAAGAACATGATGGATCAAAAATAGGTTTTATCCACATTGAAGGAATACAAATACCTATTAAAACTCATTTTAGAGAAGGAATAGACACCCCAATAGATTAGATTTAATAGATAATAGAATCAATAATAGAAAGGATGATATCCTTGAATTAGTACAAGGTAACCTTAGTTACCAAAAACTTATGTTTATAATATATCTAAAATACGTTGTAAACATTAATGATAGAAATATTAATAAAACCTTGAGTTTAGCAAATGAATTTGCTAGAGAAAACTTTATGAAAGATGGATCAATGCCATATAGTATATACTATATGATAAGTTATGCATTGACTAATAGTCATCAATCTAATCTTTTTAAAGATAAAGAATCTATTGACTTAGATCCTATGTTCTCGAAAAAGGACAAATTCAAAACCAGAAATGATCACTAAAATAGAATTACTCAGAATGGAAAATAGACTGTCATGCCCCAGAACCCGAATCCGAGGACGTGGCAGACGCCGTGCACTCGTGAGACGGGTCCCACAAATGCACAAGGCTCGAAACTTATCAAATTCACACTCTGATACCATCAAAATCTGAAGATCAAATCTTTAAAATTTACTCCGATAACATAAATCTCCAAATACACTCTGGTTTACAAGATCATGGTTATTTCTAAAGTCTATATCAATCTCGAAATGGCTAGCATTCTAACTCGTCACTTCCCATGGTTTCCTCGTCCTTGATTTCACATCCTGAAATGGTGGACAAGGAAAAACTATGAGATAAACTCAGTAAGTAAATATGGAGTGCCCCTTATCAAACTTATAGCATGCCAACAAGTACAATCATGAAAACAGATACAGTACGGGCACGAAATAGACGTCTCCTCTATAGGTCACGGCCAGTGTATAATCCCCACTAGCAGGGCCACGATTTGTTGGTGTATAACCCCCACTAGCTGGGTTGAACGAACCGGCTCTTTCACTAACATGTCGACATGTGCTAGCGTTTATAACCTCCCCCACTAGCAGGGTCACGAATAACATGACCACATCGGAGACAAAACAAGCAGAAGTTAACAGGAAAATCACGATTCACAATCACTTTCAGATCATCAAGACAGTCACTCAAATTTCAAGTAGGCATGCTCAATTTCATGAAAAGCACAAAACATTTCACTTCAAATCAGTCATACTTGTGTAAAACAGGTTTAGTCCCGCCACCACTTCAAAAACAAATCAAAACATGCCTTTAAAAACTATACGGGCATTACCATAAATTTACTTACCTCACTCCCAAAAACCAACAACCAAATCAAGCACTAACTGACAGAACGATCAAGAACCTAATCAAAATATCCACGAATTAATTACCGGACTATCACAAATTCAAGCTGAAATCATCATTAGGATCATTC